GAGGCAGGGGAAGGGGAGGGGAGTGAATTTGCCAACATATTATATTACCGGAGTACACAAAATTTGGCACAACCTCGCCTAGCATGTCTACTGTAATTCTCAAATTACTCTCACCTCTAGTTTATGAAATAAGCTCTTTTGTTAGAATAAAAACTTAAAAGGTAACCCTGGAAGAATAAAACATTCCGTTTTTAAAAAGTCTGCACTGTTGTTATTTTTATAAATTAGCCTGGAGTGTTTAAAAGTGCAGTGGAAAGCACTTCATATTTATATCAGCTTTCACTTGGTCTCAATATCTTCTTATTCTCTGGGGATAGTAATAACAATAATAAACTGAAAACAACAATAATAGCCATTTAAGTCTCTTTAAAATCATTATCTCTAAGGGCTGTTGAAAACAGGGCATGGTTATCATGGAGTCGCCAGGAATCAGAGCTGGCTCCCCGGCCTGTAACTAACACCATTGCCAGGTTCCTGTGTAGCGAACACGTTCATGCCCATTTTATGGCAGAGCAAGCACAAGTAACTTTTTCAAAAATTACACAGAAAATAGTTGGGAAAAAATGGTAGTCAAAATTTCGCCTCTGTGAATCCAGATTATAATTTAAACTCTCTCTCTCTCTCTCTCTCTCTCTCTCTCTCTCACACACACACACACACACACACACACACACACACACACACACACACACAGTGCCATCCACTTTGGAATAAAACACTTGAAACATGATTTTCAAATATTGTGACTAGACACAGGGCAGAATTGTAGAGGGTGGTATCATTGCCCTTGATAGGGCAGGACACGGTGCTGAAGTTACATCCTTTGAACCTTCCAGAAATAGAATAAAATATCCTCTAAAAGAAAATATATAAAGAAGAGCCAAGTAATTTTTTTTATTTTTACCACTATGTGATTTGCCCTGGGTATTTGCGTAGGCACAATGTTCGGCTTATAAGGACAGGATTGACAATTATTGATTAGGTATTTACTTTATGCTTTGAAAGCCTATCTAATGAAATCTTGCAGCTTTCCAAGGCCAGCTGAAGGAGCTGAGATTTAGAAAATGAGCAAGCAGGCACTGATTAAGCTATTTATCTGATTCCAAATATTTATTCAACATTGCTAAGAGCATATAAAATAATACTAAGAACTACCATTTAGGAAGTACTAATTTATTTCTAGCCACTGTACTAATGTACTACACACATTCCCACTTTGTTACAACCTGGAAGATATGTTCTGTGGTCGTCATTTTCTTCAGTGGGAACCAGGGGATGAGGAGTTAACACTGTCCGGGGATACATGGGTCATTGGATTAAGGAACCTAAGTTGTGGTACATGGTCTCTCACATGGTTTTTCAGTTATATCATGTCACCTTTATGTAGGTGGCACTAATATGTCAAGAATAGTACATTTCACTCCCCAATTACCTTTGCACATAGAAATATATTTCACCTTTAGGAAAACCTTTCTAACTCAGGTTTGTTCTCTCACAAGTATATGATAACATGTTTACCACAGGGTATATAGTGGGCGTGTATTCATTTTGTACATTTTTATTAAGCACCTGTTATGCACCAAACCTATTTCTAAGTACTGAGAATATTGTGATTTATAAAGAATATAGTTTAGAAACAGAGAGTCCTTAAACAACCATACGAATAAATATAAAAGACAAAACCCAGAATTTTTTTTAAAAAAAATCTAAGTAAGGAATTGGATGGAGGGTATTTTGGAGAAAAGAGGGGTCAAATGTCAAATTTCTAGGATGGAAAGCAGTTGGCAAATTATAAGGTCCCCAATTTTTAAACCTATGCACACATACTCCCTTTAGAGGGGAAATGATTTTATCATGTCAGGCTTTGGGTTATATGATAGGAATGCAAGGATAAATATTGCAGATTTGGGGCAATTTACTTAACATTTCTCATGCTTCTATTTCTACATCATTAAAACAACTTACTTTCCCATCACAGTTTACATCCCATATTATTCTGTATTCGTTTTCGATGCACAGCAAAGCTGTTAGACCATGGTGTACTTAATAGTGAGACTATTTGTTCTATTTATCTCCTAGTTCATAAGAAACCCATGAGGTAATGCTTGTGCAAGCAATTTGAGAACCATCAAGTTGCTTATTAATAAATAGTACATATCATTGTGCATTACATTTTAATAACAGTGACCTTATAATTGGGAACAGAGAGAACTTCCCTTTCTCTCAGTTCACTTTTTGTGTTGTTTCTTTTTCTTTTTTTCCCCTAGCTATCTACACCCTTTGTCTTTCCTTCTCTGACTTGCAGAGGGTGACCGAAGCAATGGTTCTTGGTGGAGATGCAGAAGTAACCTTGCCATTTCATCCCAGGAAACCCCCTTCTCCCAGATGACATTAGAATGAGAAGGGGAATGTGGAGATGGTGCTCAATATCCATGGAATTTTGCAAATAGTTTTTTTTTAAGATAAAATTTCAAAGTTAAATTTCAGAATATGCATTTAACTTTATTTACATGTGTTATGTTTTCACTTAACTCGATATTTTCATGTCCAATGAATAGCTAATAGGACGATCGAAGTGTGATTTTTAAAATGATATTCCCTAGATAAATAGTGTGAAAAGCAATATAAATTTCTGCCTTAAAACAGTGTAAGAGCCCATATTTTATCCAGGAAAAAAAATAAAGAAAACAGCCCATACACAAATTTAACTTCAATACATATGTTTTAGGGAAATGGAGAAAAATATTGAGTTGCACGAAAGAAATCTGGTGACAATAAGTAGTTACAAGTCCACTGATATACTTACTGACCTTTTTACAGATACCTTATAATCTAGGACCCCTCATACTATGAGTTGAAATGGACTGTATAGAACTGAGGGCCCTGAACCAAGGACAGGGTGGAGGGATCTGAAATTTACTAGATGAGCCCCATGGACTGGTCAGTGCTGGCCCACACCGCTGTGTCTTCCTGCGGAGGGAGACTCCTGGTTCTGGAGAGAGGGGATGTCAGGTGGCCTGGCACACCCAGCCTCAGCAGACAGTATCTTCAGCCGCCTGAGGAAGCAGCACTGAAGCTGCTGCTGTATAAAAGCGAGAAGCAGTATTGACATTTCGAAGCTCAGAACTATGTTTTTAACAAGCCTGCAAATACTGGGAAATCACTAGTACAGTTTTCTCCAGAGGATGCAGTGCCGTTAGAAGGTACTCCCACCCCCACTACAGTGTGCATCTGGATAAAATATGTGCAATGAAATTTCAGGGCAAAATCTGATGCCGGAATCATCTACAACATGGCAGATTTATACCAGGGGTGGTTTTTATTTATTTTCAAATGTGGATTCCCTGAAGAGCTCAAATGTTCTACATGTTACTTACGGCTTCTCCTTGAAAAGACTTACCTCTAAGGTCTGGGTAACATAAAACTTGAGCTGCACAGTCCTCAGAATTGAGCATGGGCCGTAATTCTCCTTCGCCGCTGACTCGGGGTGGTTTGGAATTAACTAGAACTTGACCTATATGGTAATTAATAATTTATAATTAAACTGGCAATTTGAGTAAATCAGCATAACCGTAAGCATAGTGTCTCCTCTCTCTGTTATCTTCCCTTTTATTTTCAGAATCTGAAAGAGAATTGAGAAGAAATGTTATAAGCTTTGCGGCCCCTCCATCCCTACCCCTTATTCCTTTTTTTTTTTTTTTGTCCAATGTGTTCTTTAGATCTTTCTTTCAAAGAAGAATCAAGCATGTACCTTGTCAGCCTTATGCCAGAGCCTGAGGAAACAAGGGTGAAATCCCTTCCTCATCCTCAAGCACCTCCCTCACTAGGAAAAGGGACATGGACCCAGCCTGTAGGAGTTTATTGAGAAAGATGTAATTATTGTTGTCTTCATCTTCGTCTTCCTTGTCGTCTGGTAGTTAACATTTATTGTTTCTTTCCTATCATGCACTCTATGAAGCCCTTGTTTTGTCTAAACCTCACAACACATTTAGGTTAGCTACAACTATCATCTGTATTTCGCAGCTGAGGAAATCAAGAGGGGAAGGTAGTCTACCTTGCCCAAGATTATTCAACAGCTGAGGAGTTGAGATCTGGAGCCCTGCCCTAACCACTGGGGTATGATGTCATTATGCCTATGTTTTATAGTACAACTAGAGACATGATTCACGGAATTTCATGCACTGGGGTGGGGGTCCCTCAGCCTGGTCTGTGCTCTCTCACAGCCTGGGAGCCCTTGGACTGATGGTTTAGGCCTGCTTCCCCTGGGAGAGTGCACCACCAGGAAGAAACTCCTGCACTAAGGACTGGTCATTCTGCCTTTCAGCCAATTTTCATATTAGCCTTTTATTATATAGGATTATATAAGATATTATAGTGGTCATAATAGCAGGTGCAATGTATTGCTGACTCTGGTTGGACAAGTCAGAGGCAGTTTTTCTGTGTTTTAAAAGATATGTTTGAGGAATGAAAAGGAATTTTCAGGTAAAGAAATGTAAAAGAAAAGAATTATTGCAGGATGCAATAATCTGTGCAAGACCAAAGAATATGGAGATGGCGGGAATGCTCAAGGGAGGATAACTAACTCAGTGTGGTTGGCTTTATTGAAAAATAAAAAGGGCTTAAGTGGGTGCAACTCATGCCTATTTGCTTAAGTCAGCAATTCCCCTAAAATAAATGAGCAGGTGGACAGACAGGAACTCAGAAAATGTTGTTAAGTAGTTTCCTTTTGGTTTGACCTTTCAATCAACAAGCATTAATGTCCTTGTCTTCAGTTCCTGTGCTTCTTCCCCACCCACACACCTGCCTCCTGCTGCAAAACATAAGTGCACTGTACATGTTGTGTTGGTGGCCACATCCTTGGCCAATCAAGAAATCAGAATATTATTACTGAGATGTTACTCATTATACTGCATGCTAAATGAATATGTATAGGCTAGCACCTTCTTTTGAGTGTAAAGACTAATTCTCATGTATTTATTCTCTTCTCTGTCTCTTCGCAGTCCCTCCACAAATCATGAACATCTCCTCAGATATCACTGTGAATGAGGGAAGCAGCGTGACCCTGCTGTGTCTTGCTATTGGCAGACCAGAGCCAACTGTGACGTGGAGACACCTGTCTGTCAAGGGTAAGGCATGTACCTAGAGAGACCTTCTTAGAGTCGGTATTTTGAAGGCTTTATTCTGTTCCACATCAGAACATCTGGAATCAGAAAACAATGCTGTCTGACACCAGAGTAATGTCAGAGCAAAGGCCACACCCATCAGTCACTGAGTATCCCATTCCTAAAGGATATTTTAGATAATATTTATATTTACAGATAATCTTTACTGAATTGTTATTTCAGTCGTTTTTATGACGTTAGCTGATTTTTTTGTTTTCCAACTGTGAAGAAGAGAGGTGCTGTAAGCATAACTTCCAACCAAGACACTCATTTCTCAAGGTCAAGATTGTGTGGGTTAGTTGGTGGGTTGTTCTTCTTGATATAGAGTGGAGAACATGGCAGTGTCCACTGGGACCACTGATGCCCTTGTGTATTGAGGAGAAAAAGGGCCTCCCTGCTCAGGATTTTCTGGACATCAACCTAGTGCCACATATGTTTGACCTGTTAATAAATAGCTCTCTCGAGTAGAGGAAGGATGAAAGAAATGGTGAGGCGGGGAGGGGTCATGCCATGATTGGTATTGAAATATTGGTTATGAGCATCTTCAACTTACTAGGAAGGGAACCAAAGAGACAAGGGGCCTCATGCCCTTGGAACTAAAACTTACTCCAAGTTGAACTTGAAGAGCTGAACACAGAGCCACTTGATATATTTGGACTGTTAATAGAAACAATGATTAATTCCAGAAATTATACACGAAAGAAATGGCTCCCTCAGGCAACAGAAAAACTAAACATGCAACCCAGGGAAGAGGGAGATGTGGAGTATGCCTGTGTGTGTGTGTGTGTGTGTGTGAGAGATATAAAAAGAATAGAGATCTAGAGGAAACATAGAAATAAATCTTAGTAACCTTGCACTAAAAACTTGATAAATTTGGCTTTGTATTATTTGTAATCAGCTGTTGAAACAAAATACCACAAACTGGATGAATTAAACAATAGGAATGCATTTTCTCATAGCTCTGGAGGCCAGAAGGCCATAAGGAAGGTGCAGTCAGGTTGTTTCCTTCTGAGAGCTATGAGGTGTCTGTTCCATGCCTCTCCTGGGCTTCTTGTGGTTGGCTGGACATCTTTGGTATTTCTAGACGTGAAGGTGCATCATCTGATCTTGGTCTCATCTTAACATGACTCACCGAGACCGGTTTGGCTCAGTGGATAGAGTGTCGGCCTGCGGACTGAAGGGTCCCGGGTTCGATTCTGGTCAGGGGCATGTACTTGGTTGCCGGCACATCCCCAGTAGGGGGTGATGCAAGAGACAGCTGATCGATGATTCTCTCTCATTGATGTTTCTAACTTTCTAACCCTCTCTCTTCCTCTCTGTAAAAAATCAATAAAATATATTTAAAAACAAAAAACAAACAAAAAAATACATGACTCCCCCACCCCCACCCCACCCCCTTAACTCATCTCTCAGCCAATTTCTTTCTTTTTATAATGAAACCAAACATGATGGATTAGCGCCCCAACTAATGGCCTCATCTTCAGTTGATTACCTCTGTATAGATCCTATCCTATATAATTGAAGGCTGATATGCAAATTGTCCCCTTGGGTGTTGGATTGCTCACTGTGATGGTTGTTGACTACCAGGGGTGACCAGCAGTGGTGGAGGTGGGTGCTGATAGAACAAGGGAAAGAGAAGACAGGGAGGCTGAAGGTGGGGAACCTGATTGGCCCTGACCACCGGCCAGGCCTAGGAACACTACTCATGCACAAAGTTCATGCACGGGACCTCTAGTTTCCAAATAATGTCACATTCTGAGACACAAGGAATTAGGACTTTAAGGTGTCTTTTGAGGGGGATGCAATTCAACCCATAACAGGCTGAATCAAAATTAAAAACACCATTAAGATATGCATAACCCAAGAACACAGAAAGTAGTTCAGTGAAGGCCTGGGGAGGGGGTGGAGGCAGAGTGGCAAGGGTCAATGGGGGTGGGGGGACATCTGTAATATTTTCAACAATAAAGATACATTGTAAAAAAGAATAAATGAAGAGGCAAGCCACAGACTGTGAGAAAACATTTGCTGTACTTAGACCTGACAAAAAGAATTTACATCTGGGCTCTGTGAAGAATTCTTACAGCACAATTGTAACAGCCCACCTTGAAATGAACAAACTATTTGAACAGACAGTTCACAAAAGGAGATATGTGAATGAAAAATAAGCACCTGAAAATATGTTCGACATCTTTATCATAGAAATGAAAATCAAACAGTACTGAGATACCTCTATACAACTGCTAGTATGACAAACATGGAAAAGACTGGCAATGCCACGTGTTAGTGAGGATGTGGAGTGACTGAAACTCATACATTAACTCTAAGATGTGAAATGGCATAAGCCCTATGGGGAAAAAAAGCTTGGCACTTTATGATGAAGTTAAAAACACACTTAGCATGTGACCCAGCAAGTCACTTTTAGGTATTTAGCAAAAATAAATGAAAACAAGAATGTCAACAAACATGCATGGTACACAAATGTTTATAGGGGCTTCATTTATATCAGCCTCTAACTAGAAATAACCCAAATAACTATCAACAGGTAAATACATTTAGATATATTCTTACAGATGACTTCTGAGCGATTAAAAGAAACCAACCATTGGTACACATAGCACAATGGATAAATCTCAGTAACACTATGGAGCAAAAGAAGTGAGATACAACAAATGTATGCTGTATGATTTCGTTTATCTGAAATCGTAGAACAGACAAAAGTAATCAATAATGACTGCCATCAAGCCAGTGCTTACCAGAGTAGGAATGTTTGAAAAAGTGACTGCAAGGGGCACAATGGAATTGGGGGGTTGACAAAAATATTTTATATCTTGAGTAGGGAGATAGTGACATTGTTTAAGTTAGTCAAAATGGATCAAACTGTACAATAAAAATAGGTGCACCTGAAATGTCCCCCTCCTAGTCTGAAACAAAAATCATGTGAGCAGCAGTTATAAGTGAGAGGCTGGGTTGGGTACTAGGAGCGCAGTGTAAGCTTCCAGTATTGCACTCTGTTCATGCATGAGGAGAATAAAGCTTTCAGCCCTGCCTTGTTCATGGGAAGACATGCTAATGAAGCCACGAATCATATTTATATAAAGGCCTCATCTACTGACCCCAAATGCCAATGTTATAAAGTCGAATTAACATGAATATTAAAAGTGTACATAAGAAGCCTCCCCAAGCTCTGCTTGAGCAGAACCACAGCACTAGCGCGTGTTCCTAAAGACAAAAGGCTCATGGGAAATTTGCTCAAAGTCAGGGAGAATTTTGGATTTACATTATATCCAAACTGTGCCCAACCCTCAGACCAATCTATACATAGTTGGTGAAGTCCGATGTTCTTAGAAATGCTAAAAACCCCAGGATGCATTTATTTGATCCTAAATACACAGTTTTCTAAGCCTACAAATCTCTGGAGAAGGTCTTTGACATTGTGTGTTTTTAACAATGTTTATAGTGGTCATAGGTAAGATTTCCTCTTAAAATAGGGAGATTGATCTACATTTCCAATCTTTTCTACAATGTAATAGTTGCAATGCAGCCTTAAAAAAAAAAAAAAAAAAAAAAAAAAAAAAGATCAGAAAATTCTAAAGTTAAATGATCCTGCCTCTTTAAATCTCCCAGGGATGCTCTACTTTCAAATTGCCTTTTGTTTTTCTGGAGCCCTGGCCTTCACCTTGTATTTTTCCTATTGTCTCTCCCTGTCCCCACTCCCACTCCCCGCACCCCCCCCACACACACACACACTTATCTTCCCCTGGAGTGTTTGTGAGTGTAAAAACCGCATATTCTGTGACCACCAATATTTAATTTAGGCAGCGACTCCTTCTCACCTAGAGTTGAGCAGGCTTTGGAAAGTGGTTTTAAACTTTCAGAAGACCAGCCAATAAAACTTGAACATCAAACAGCATTTTTAGAACCATTTACCAGTTAGTTCAGCATGCAAGAATAAGAAATAAAAGCCGCAATGACATTTCATTTGGCATTCCAGTGGGATTACTTTGGATAATTGAGCACACTGGACATCTGGGTTCCCCGAATATTAATGAAATATATTAAATCTGCTCTTTGAAATTTGGGGATCTATATAACAAATGGATAAACAAACTTTTATTTAGAAAAAGAATATTTTAATGAGCAGATTATTAAATATGGAAAATAACCGTAACACTATGGTTTAAAAAGACAGTTCAAGAACATGCCCCCAATACCTAGAAATTATAGAAAAGAGATGTAGACTAATGACTGTTGGCATAAGAATCATCCAAACCTGTAGAGAATTTTTATTTATGAGTTTATTTGAGCCATGCTGAGGACAGTTTCGGGGAAGCAAAAATCTCAATGGATTGAGAAAAATCTCTGGAAAATGAAACTTTTACAGCTTATTTTATACATCAAAATCACAGGGGAAGACATAAGGTGGTTACATGAAATCCGCTGGTGGGAGAATAGGTAGGTGGGAGAAAGCAAAGTGGGAAAATCTCTGGGATCAGAATAAAAGTAAAATGGAGAGACACATATTTCTTTTGCATTGGTTAACAGAATAGTTAACAATTAACACTAACAGAACATAGGAATGGTCTAGGTCCATGGTCAGCAAACTGCAGCTCACAAGCCACATGAGGCTCTTTGGCCCCTTGAGTGTGGCTTTTCCACAAAATACCACAGCCTGGGCAAGTCTATGTTGAAGAAGTGGTGTTAGAAGAAGTTTAGGTGTAAAAAAAAATGGCTCTCAAAAGAAATTTCAATTATTGTACTATTGATATTTGGCTCTGTTGACTAATGAGTTTGCTGACCACTGGTCTAGAGGAACAAGATAATGAGGGGTTCGCTGGTCTTGGTGTTCTAGTGGAGATTGTGCCCTGAGGTGTCTGGAAAAAATGGATTACTCTGACATTAAGCAGATAATGTGTTGTTGTTGTTTTAAAAAGAAAACTCATTCATTTATATGGATTTGTGAGAAA